CATGGACATACCTGTCCACTCTAGTTTGTCCTTTTTGCTTGATTTACCATTGAAGATGGTGCTTTAAAATTGATATTGCATGATATAAATAAAATGCCTGGACTAAAACTTTTAATAAATTCATATCTTCAATGTTGAATAAGTTTTCCTTGGATTTTTATGATGATTACGGTAAACCCGAGATTGTTACCAGGAGTAACAAATGTGTCGTATCCTTCGATATTTTCACAAATCAATACTTACACAAGAGAGAGGTAAATAGTTTACAATAGACATGAAATGCATAGTAATCAATCCACAATGAGTATTGATTTCCTTCCCCAACCTGACCACCCTAATTTTCCTCATCAACCTTCCTATTTCTTTGATCTTGACTAATCAATTTTGCCTTTAGAAGATGACAGCTCTTAAAATGTCCCTTTTTTTCCCCCCAGTCTTGATTTCTATTTTCATAGGTAGTATTTTCAGGTTTTTTAAGGTCAAATCTCTGCATGTCTTCACCTTAGTCATAATAGCACTAGCTACAATGAGATAAACTTTTCATATAAACTTGGTGAATATTTCAGAAAAGGAATTTATCATGATGGCTAGATACAGACCTCCTGCCATCCCTCGGGAAATTATAAATATTTATGATGCCTGTGTGTCCTAAGTGTTTATTTATGCTTGTCACTAGTGTTAACACAGGAGCTGGTCAGTCTACAATAGGACTGGTCAATATATATATATGATGTAGATATACCCCACTTCACCGCTGTATTTATTACCAGTTAACTGTGAAACTTATCATCTTTTAGACCCTTAATCTCCATCGTCACATTCCAGGATATGGTCAGAAAGTATTGACATAGTTTCAAAATTAGCTATTAATACCTAAAATAGTCTGTTTTATATAAATAATCATGTATTTAACCCAATAACACCCTAGGTATAGCCTCACTTTACAAATCATTTACTAGAACTGTTATCTGCATTAGGTATTCATGACCTGCAAAAGCAATCATAAACACATGACTGTGTATTTGTTTAATCTATCAGCTGACATTCCAGATTTATCTGATAACAGCCACGTATGGCCATTACAACACTCGAAACATCAGTTCTGTCCAACAGGGTGCTAGCATCGTATCTATAGATACATTGAATAGATAACTGACAATAATTATCAAAACACCCATGACTATGTTTAATTAATATTTTTATCATAGTGGCACTAAACATAGAAAACACATTTACTGTTATTCAGCTGTGTATAATAGATACCTAAATCACTTTACAGATATTGTTTGTGGACTTTTTTTAATTTTAAATAATATAAGACTAATCTATTGATTTCTGATTATATAACCAACCTTGTATTGAAATATTTCAGTCAAAATTAATCATGTCTATTAACCAGAATGTCTAGGACCAGCATTTCGCATGGTTCCACGTATAAATTGAAATAAAACATGATTTGATGTAACAGTACTGTATAACGAAAATTTATCAAAACACTGAAATATTACAACACAAGACTGACTTTGATTAAAATCAAAATTTAATGTCTGGACACAGAATATACAATTTTAGCACAGTACATAATTGTCAATAACACACGTATCATAAGTGAAAAGCCTTAATAGGCACCCATATCCCGACATTTTATACCCACAAACATATAAGGCAACTAAAACATAATTATGATCTTGTTAATTACATCATAAATAAGTCATTCAGAAGCAATGGTGCATATTTCTGATACCAACTTTAATCATATTTCTATGTAAATTGTTCAGCACGAGACCACTGTAGGGTTCAGACCAGCATTTCACCCCTGTATTGGGTTTATCAAAGCTAAGAAATGACATATTCTATGCTAAATGATATACATCATAAACTTTCTCCAATAAAAATCTGCAATCAGAAATCAATGCATGTATCAAACTGTACCTGTTATTGTACATAAAACATTGAAAATGAGCAATATATACCCATGTTGTTTATCACAGACTCCGCCACAAAGCAACAGCTGACATTCCCACGGAAGTCAAACTTAAAAATGATGTTTAAAAATTTAGAGATATTAAATAAAGGAATAAATACCTTTTATTTTTTCATCTTTCATGAGAAAAATCATTGATATTCTTTTATCAATATATGACACAATGATAGATAGATCATTGTCAGGGCTCTCTCAGTTAAAACTAATAAAAATTAAATGTCACAGGTTAAATATTACCATGTATGTATTTTTTCTAGAAATAAAACTTTCTAATGTTTATTTTTATTTTGTACACTATATGAATTTGTCCCATATTCTATTGCACAACTTCTTGCTTGGTGGAATTACTAATTCACAAAAATATGTGTACATCTAATAAGACCTTACAGAACAGACGCTACCATAATGTAAAATAATACAGAATTGTTATCATTACTAATTATAAGGAATAAGATTACAACATAATCACAGAAAGTTTACTAATTACTCAACATAGATAACACTAAAAACTTAACAATAATATATAAATAAAATATCTTAAAAAAAGGGTAAATATTGGGACTTCTACAACTCTGCTTATAATTTAACATTTATAACAAAAAAACTTTCTATTAACAATTATGTTTAAAGACCTAAAAGGGGGCGGGGAAGAGAAGAAGAAGGGAAGATAAAACCAAAAGCTTTTAGTGATGTTTTATCAAACCACTGGCGTGCTCATCATCCTCCAACTCCACCATAATTTATTATCAAATAATAATAAATTATCATAGCTCATCATTACATTTATCTGAGCACTTTGTATGGAGTATTCCATAAGCCTTGTCCATATACTGACATATGCAAAATCTTGTTTTGGTCTCAGAAAACTCAGGCATATAAAATAAGGGTGATAACTCTTTATATACAGTGATATGATATGAGAATGTTAAGGAGATACTCTTCCAGTCCCATTAGTAAGTTGCTTTGCAAAACTTGGCAGTTGTGAGTTAAAAAAAGAGCTCTAATAGACAGATGGCAATAGGAACTGTATGTACACTAATACCACGAAAGGCTACAGCAATCACAGAATTAAATGGGGAAACTTCTATACTACATATAAGCCTCTTTTGTTGAAAACATCATTATAGAACTGGTTTTTTGAAAACTTCAGTCGTTGCTAAGCAGATCATTATACCCACTTCTACTATATTCCGAGTACCACTACAAATTAATTCATCCCTATGCTTTTCAGTTACAGACTCTATCCCTAAAGCGCCTTTATTTTAAAACCTGATATGAAGTCATTTATAAGATATTAATAACTCTATCTAAATTCTATCACAAAATTCCATAGCATGCAATCATTTCAGCATCGAAACTTTCTACTAACACATATCAGTTCATATTTTTGATAAGTTATCATTAATTAATATATATATATTAACTGTAACTGTATAGGACATCAATGATTAAACAGACCAGATACACAGAATAATCAAACAATTAATAGATTTAAAGCAATTACTTTGAAATGTTGACACTCAATACAATCAGAATATACACATTGTGAGGCACCTTTCACTATAACAACAATAGACTAAACCTGAATTTAACAACGCAATACAAAAGTAAACTGCGGTGATCTTTTACTGGTCAGTTTAGAACATTTTGCTGTCAATTTTCTGTGTAAAATTGAAGCAATGAAGAATTATCAACCTGAATAGATTTGACTAATATTGGGGAACAAAATGATAAAAAAAAAGATGTATATACATATACATACAGATGTTGTTTGGGGAGGGAACAAAACCAAGTCCAATTGGTATTCTGTAATATGTGTACTTTAAAGTTTAATTATATGTAAATTAGATAAACAATCACAACTGTATTAAAACAATCATAAAAAAATACTATCACACTTCAAAAACTATTTGAGTACTGACTAGCTACTGCCATTAGGTTTTAACTGATGAAAGGCTAAATTAATTGAACAATTAGCATAAGATAAGAGACTGAAACTGCTTCATCAAGGGAGATAACTGAGTCTCTAAACAAATGTATTAATTGGCACATTGATAAGCAACATAGTTATCACATGTAGAAAAAATATAACAACAATATTTACATTTATTTTTGCAGATCCTTTCTGTATTCAAATAAAAACACAAAAATATAAAGAAAAAAGCTCATATATCAAATATATTTACTATATGGATCATAAATATAATATTATTTTATCAAGTATGGCATTTTCAGAAAATGTTTTGTCCTAAAGTTATGACACTAAATAAAATCAGACCCCACACTACCATCAGTACACTTTCCAAAATATGGCATTGTTATGAATTTCAGCCTGCAATCAATTGATATACAGACTTTTTTAAAATAAGACTGCAAAAAAAATTGTATCAGCATTTACAAACACTTGAAATAAACCTACATACACACAAAACGGATTTTGTGATAAAGACACTAATTCATATATTGCACCTTATTATCATTAAAACAAATGTTAACAATTTAGGTAAGTGAGCTTGCAAATGACAATTATATGGCTATGAGTCATAGTGATCATGGGTTTGTTTAAAGATCTAAAAACATCAGAGAAATCTGTTTTTAAGAATGACAATAGAGATGCACCTGTGTGTTAAAATCACCTTGGAAGACACAAAAGTTTAATAGGTCAGCTATGCTTAAAAAAAAACTAGTGACAAAATGTGAGAAAATTATTAAAATGTATCCATGCATGATTGTATTTGTCAAGTATACAATGTCACAGTTCAGAAACATCCTAAATTGTATTTATCATGAAAATGTGAGAGGATTACTTCTATCCTGTGTACTGTGGCCAAATATGCTATGAAGGTTAAACATGAATTCCTAAGGCCAAGCAAATCAGGATGAAATTTGTCAAGTATTAACACATGACTGAGAAGAGGTGGAATGGATGTAGTAGTAGAATGGCAGTGACTTTGATAGTTTTAGGATATGGGTGAGATTAAAGCATTAGAATCCTGCTAAATTGTTCTACTAATAGCTAGAATCCTGTGGACAGGTCATATGACAGAATGAAGATTGAGACCATCCAAACAAGTAAGAGCACCATGACTTCTGTAAGAAGGTGTAGCACAGTTTTTGGGGCCTCTGTTTCTTCCTTAGTGTCCTGACAAAGATCTGAATCTCTTCCATCTAAATTGTCTCTACCAGCAGCACCAGTATTGTTAACATCATCTAGAAACTCTCTATTGACTTTTTCTTGCAATTTGTTATTGTTCAATGGTTTTTCGTCTTGTTTGTTAGCACCTCTAGCGATTGTTTTACTAACAGGACCCTCTGAACTATCAAAGGAACGATTCTGATTTGCTGACATTCCGTCATTTCTAGAAACAGAACAATCAGACTCGTCCGCCCAAACAACATGTTTACCACCAACAGGCTGGGAGGAGGAAGATTTTAGAGCTGAGGGATGGGATAATGATGCTGAAGAATTTTGAGATGCATGTGGTAACGAGGATGACAATGGTGTATAAACATTAGGGCAAGGTGCAGATGGTTGGCGGGAAGGCTTCTGCTCTGTTGTAGAGGATGGTATAGTGGATGATCTATGTGAAGGCTGTGTTGTACTGGTTGTAGATAACAGTAGTGATGATGTTGATGACATTGGTGTACTTACATGTGAAGATGAGAGACTGTCAGAAGAATGTGAAGAAAACATCTGATGATGTAAAGAACTATCTGGATCGTCCAACAGAGCCCTAACAGGTATCTCATCTGGTACAGAAGTGCCCTCGTGGCCAGTTGAAGCTCTATCACTTTGAACTTGTGGCAGATTTTCATAATTACCATTGCTACATTGTTGACTACCTGCTTGTAATAATTGTCCTTCAGACTGGTCTGCTACTGCTCCTGATATACTACGTTGTTTTGTGTACCCCTGATTGCCTTTATCCTCCTCCTTGCCTGATGTGTCACTCTCTCCCAGCTGTTTTCCTGTGCTCCCCTCCCTGTCTGTACTAGTAGGTAACGCTGTACCCGATTCCCCAGATTTTTGTGCCTGTGTTGATGGATCAAGCGATACACATGGACTGAATGGTTGACTTTCAGTTTGTGTTATTGAAACATCAGTTAGGGTAGGTAATGGATCATTGCTGTCAGTAGCAGCTTTCCTTAAAGTGTCACAACTGCTGGAAATGATGTCCTGTATATACGAATGAACTGCAGTATGTTTATTTTCTTCATCTGGTTGTTTCTTTTCTGCTGATCCTGAAAGACTTTCTGCTTCACCTTCAGGCTTACAGAGTAATGGTTCCTCAAGAGAAGGAACTGGTACTGTTATTTTCCTCTTAAGCTCTTCCTCTTCTAACTTTTGAGATGCGGTATGAAGTTTACCACTGGGATCAGCATTAAGTTTAGTATGGGCTTCACACTTCAATTCTGATGATACACTCGATACTGTTGATGACACCTGATCTTGTTGCTCATCATGTACAAAGGATTCTTCTACTTCCTGTATTGGTTCCACCACTGTATTTTTCACGTTCGCGGTCTCCAATATCGAGCCTTTTTCTTCCTCTGGTTTTCCCCCTGGTTGTACCTTGGACCTTGAGTATAATGCTGGTGACACAAGACTCAGGTAAAAGTCCGGTGTCCTAACGGGGGCTTTCCCACTCTTTATCCTTTCACGTAAACTGTCAGCTGTATTAGGTCTTGTTTTCAAGGTTGTGAGTTTCAATTTAGGATTAACACTGTATGTTCCTCTCTCCTTAAGTCTCATAGAGGGATCAAATTTAATAGCTCTTGGCTTGACAGAATACCTGTCACCTAACGACAAACTCATTTCAGAGTTCCATGTCCGACGTAATGGTGTTTCAGGAAACTCTGATGACACTTCCTGTTTGGAACTGTGTCTTTTCAACACAAATTCCTCACCAAACTCCGAGTCTGTATCACTCTTATCCATTATATCGCCTTTGGCCCCTGTTAGAGGGGCTACATCTGGAATGTACTTTTTCAAGTTTTCTGATGAAGATGGGGAACATTGTGTGCCGTCTGCATTCAGCTTTTTGCCATTGTTGGATTCCTTCTGGACTTCTGTAGAACCAATCTTTCCTAGGTGTTTAGTGGCAGCCACTGTTTGATCTGTAGGATAATGTGGTACTTGGTCTGTCAGTTGATAACTAGATGCTGATTCAGAAATTAATCCAGTACCTGGATATGGCTTTGCTAAGCCATACAGCTTACTTTTTGTTTCCACTAGTGGAACCATGTGTTGGTAGTCAGATGTAGACTGATGTGTGGGCATTATCTCTTCATTTTCAGGTACATAATCCTTGACTTTTGTATTTCCTTCCAGTTTCAACTTTCCATAATGATTTAATGCAAGGTTATCCTTAGCTTTATCACCGAGATCAGCACCACATTCAACAGGCTCTTTACTACTGTTAGAATCTGGCTTGTTTTTACTAGTCAGTCCTATGTTTGTACCAGTACACATGTTCTCTGTGGGTGTAAGCATCTCTCCTGTGGCAGATGTTATCTCTGTGTTAGCAGGTGTCTTATCATTACTAGTAGGTGTCCTGTCTTTACCAGTAGGTGTCTCATCAGTACTAGTAGGTGTCTTGTCTTTCCTATCAGAGGTCATGTCTTTACCAGTTGGTATCTTGTCTGTGGTAGGTGTCTTTTCTTTTTCAGTAAGTATCTTACCTTTACTAGGAGGTGTCTTGTCTTTATCAGTAGGTGTCTTTTCTGTGCTAGATGTCTTGTCTGTGGTAGGTGTCTTTTCTTTTTCAGTAAGTATCTTACCTTTACTTGGAGGTGTTTTGTCTTTATCAGTAAGTGTCTTTTCTGTGGCAGATGTTTTGTCTGTGATAGTGGGTGTATTATCTTTACTTGTAGATGTGGTGTCTTTACCAGTAGGTGTCTCATCAGTATTAGTAGGTGTAATGTCTTTCCTATTGGAGTTTATGTCTTTACCAGTTGGTATCTTGTCTGTGGTAGGTGTCTTGTTTGTGGTAGGTGTCTTGTCTGTGATAGGTGTCTTCTCTGTGGTAGGTGTCTTGTCTGTGATAGGTGTCTTGTCTGTGGTAGGTGTCTTGTCTGTGGTAGGTGTCTTGTTTGTGGTAGGTGTCTTGTCTGTGGTAGGTGTCTTGTCTGTGATAGGTGTCTTCTCTGTGGAAGGTGTCTTGTCTGTGGTAGGTGTCTTGTCTGTGATAGGTGTCTTGTCTATACCATAAGGAGTCTTTTCTTTAGCAGTAGATACTTTGTCTGTATAGTTTGCCTTAACATCTTGATTTGGTGTTGTAAAAGATGGCATGGATTTCAACTTTCCATTTGCTGCTAGAACTGGTTCGTTGTCCTGTTTGATTTCTACAGGGTCTTTAGATAATCTATCCATATATGGATATTTTTGTTCACTTTGAGGCAATGTACGTGCCTCAGTGAAAAAGTCCATCACCTGAATCTCATCCACTAATTTTACTTTCTCATCTGACTTTCCAACTTGTCCTGCCATTGTTTTGCATTCACTGTCAAAAACATGTGGTGTGGGTGCTGTTCTATGTACAGGATCACAACTGGCTCCTGTTGGTTTGGAGTGCAAATCTGCATTGTTCACAACACCACCTACTGTTGAATTCTGGGATTCCTCACCTCTGACCTCTGACATTTCCATCATAATGTCATCCACTAATTTTTCAATATTTTTTCTGCTTTTTCGAAAGTCATCACTGCCGACTGTGTCTGTAGCTTTCAGCTGGTCAGACTGTTTTCTTTTGCCATCTTTCTTCATAGAAGGACTTGTGTCAAATTTCCTCTTGATCATGACACCACAATTAAAGCTTCTGTTCAAAACATCCTCGTCATCATCATAACCATCAACACCAATCTTTATATTCTCACATACCTCAATGCTTCGAGGTCTAGCTGGCAAACCTGATTTAAAACTATCTTCTAAATTGGATTCCTGACCTGAGCTATGTCTTCTCATTAAAGAACCATTTGTCTGAACACCAAGACCTTTCCTGATTGAGTTTGACCTTTTCAACCCTGAATCCTGATTCTCTGACCTTGTTTCTTTAGTGATGGCTGGAGAAGTAGAGGGACTTGTAAAATCTGGCTGCCCTGCAGACTTCACATCCTGATTATTTCTCTTCTTAAGAGATTCTACCTTAGTCATCCTGGATGACTCTACTTTAAGAACATCAGATAAATCAGTCACAGGCTTTTCCTCCATCACAAACACATTGTCACCTGTATATTGTCTGCCTACCTTTGGAGCACCTGACCTTTTCACTTGTATGGAAGAGGGAGAAATCGCCAGTGTTTCCTCTAATGGGACTGTAATATCTTTCTTCTTCTCTGACCAAGTTTCCTTGTGAGTGTATGACAAGTAAGAATCTCTCCAATCAACTTCCGGTTGGAGACGTGTTTCTCTTCCTGTGCTATGACTTCCTGGTTCTTTAGAACATTCTTTACTAGAAACTTTCAAGTTTGGTGATGTGACACTTTTTTCTTCCAAGGAATATGTGTATGCCAGCCAATCTTTAAACTGTTTATGTGATTTCTTTTCTACAAGATCAGATTTAGATGCATCATTACTAGGTGAAATTCTTGGCATTTCCTTATAATTAGGATTTTTCTTCAATGGTATTTCCTGCCTCATACCATCATATGATGAATTTACAGGTGCACTTTTCTTATCTTTGTCTTTGTCTGTAAATGTTGTATTAGATTGCTTACCTTCTTCCATAGATTGATCTAGCGTAAAATAGGGGTTCTTTTTCATGGGTATGTCTGGTCTAACATCAGTAACACAAACTTCATTAGAGTCTTTGATGTTACATCCAAATTTATCAAGTGCTTCCTGAAATGAAGTGTCTTTATCTCTAGACCTGTCTTCAATTCCTTGGTTATCATCTGATGTTATTGGTTTCCCTTTTTTGGGTTTAGTCTTTGCCACCGCTTCATCTCTTGATATTTCCCTTGGCATAGAGGACATAATCTCTGGTATAAAATGGGATTCTTTTGAACTTGACATGATGCTGACAAGTGATGTTTCCTTTTGCCTTGGTCTGACATCATCTACAGATGTTTCTTTTGACCTTGAAACAATACCACCAATGGAGGTTTCCTTTGACCTTGGAACAATACCATCAATGGAGGTTTCCATTGGCCTTGGAACAATACCATCAATGGAAGTTTCTTTTGACCTTGGTACAAAATTATCAATGGATGTTTCCTTTGACCTTGGTACAATATCATCAATGGAGGTTTCCTTTGACCTTGGTACAATGTCATCAATGGAGGTTTCCTTTGACATTGGTACAAATTCATCAATGGAGGTTTCTTTTGACATTGGTACAATGACATCAATGGAGATTTCATTTGACCTTGGTACAATATCATCAATGGAGGTTTCCTTTGACATTGGTACAAATTCATCAATGGAGGTTTCTTTTGACATTGGTGCAATGACATCAATGGAGATTTCATTTGACCTTGGTACAAATTCATCAATGGAGGTTTCTTTTGACATTGGTACAATGACATCAATGGAGATTTCATTTGACCTTGGTACAATATCATCAATGGAGGTTTCCTTTGACCTTGGTACAATATCATCAATGGAGGTTTCCTTTGACCTTGGTACAATAACATCAATGGAGGTTTCCTTTGACCTTGATATGAAATCATCAATGGAGGTTTCCTGTGACCTTGGTACAAAATCATCAATGGAAGTTTCCTTTGACCTTGGTACAAAATCATCAATGGATGTTTCCTTTGACCTTGGTACAAAATCATCAATGGATGTTTCCTTTGACCTTGGTACAATACCATCAATGGAGGTTTCCTTTGACCTTGGTACGAAGTCATCCATGGAAATTTCCTTTGACCTTGGTACAATAACATCAATGGAGGTTTTGTTTGAGCTTGGTATGATATCATCAATGGAGGTTTCCTTTGACCTTGGTACAAAATCATCAATGGAGGTTTGCTTTGACCTTGGTACAATATCATCAATGGAGGTTTCCTTTGACCTTGGTACAATACTATCAATGGAAGTTTCCTTTGTCCTTGATCTGACATCATCAATGGAGGTTTCGTTTGACCTTGGTATATCATCAATGGAGGTTTCCTTTGACCTTGGTACAAAATCATCAATTGAGGTTTCCTTTGACCTTGGAACAATACCATCAATGGAGGTTTCTTTTGACCTTGGTACAATACCATCAATGGAGGTTTCCTTTGACCTTGGTACGAAGTCATCCATGGAGGTTTCCTTTGACCTTGGTACAATAACATCAATGGAGGTTTTGTTTGAGCTTGGTATGATATCATCAATGGAGGTTTGCTTTGACTTTGGTACAAAATCATCAATGGAAGTTTCCTTTGACCTTGGTATGATATCATCAATGGAGGTTTCCTTTGACCTTGGTACAAAATCATCAATGGAGGTTTCCTTTGACCTTGGAACAATACCATCAATGGAGGTTTCCTTTGACCTTGGTACAATACCATCAATGGAAGTTTCCTTTGTCCTTGATCTGACATCATCAATGGAGGTTTCCTTTGACCTTGGAACAATACCATCAATGGAAGTTTCCTTTGTCCTTGATCTGACATCATCGATGGAGGTTTCCTTTGACCTTGGTATGAAGTCACTGTCCTCCAAAGATTCCTTACAATTTCTATTAAAATCCTCAAAATTATCATCTACTGGTGTTTCTTCAAATTTCCTTTCTAGCATCAGTGATGTTTCCAAATTTCTATATTTTACTTTTTCAGGGATCACTCGATCTGCTACTTCAATGTGTCTTCTCTGCTGAAGATCTGGAGTGGAGGAACTACAAAGACTGTCTAATTCTGTTTCTTTCTTGATGACTTTCTCCTTGTAATCATCTTTCTTGCATGTCTCGTTTAAATCTTGGACTGCATCTACAAATGGTGAATCATCTATGTCCTCACCTACCGTGATTTTGCTAGGGATTGCAGTTTTAGGTAAAGGTGGAGCAGTGTTCTCGTCATTAAAGTTATCTAAATCTGATGTTATTTTTGCGACAGAGAAAAGTTTAGAGTCATCTAAAGATACGAGGGATGTGAAAACATCTGTGTCTGAATCAGAGGAAGAAGAGCTGTAAGAATAGGCCAATCTGGATGGTGTAGTAATGTTGGTCTCCTCTAAATCTAAACTGTGATGTCTCACAATTTCTGATTCATCAAGTGATTTGGTTCTCTCTGGGTGTACCTGTTCTTCATTTACATAAACTGTTGGGACAGTTTTATGTATGGGTGATTCTTGCTTACCTACCAATAACTGAGGTACACTTTTATTGTGTGGTGTATAATTGATTGATTGTGTAGAGGGGTGATCTCTTGGCGATTCTGATGAAAAATGGTTGCTTTTTTGTGTTTTGCTTCTACTCGATTCAAGTTTAACTGATCTTGGTTCAGAAATGATTTCTCTACTTTCTTCAGAAGACACTTCTGAATCAGAGAAATATCTCTGAAGCTTTGGAACATCGTCTGACCAATCATAACTTTCCAGGTCTTTGGAAGGTGAAGGACAGTATTGTTGGTCTTTTTCAATACTATCATCACCAGTCTTCACTCCAAAAGGTTTTCTCCATTTTTTTCCACCTGGAGTTTTTCCCTTGCGAAACCTTGACCCTTTCTTTTCTTCAAATGACACCGACTTCTTTTTTGACAACTTACTTGCACTGTCTGGGTTGTTTTCAAAAAAATCGATATTCGGATGTGAGTTAAGCGAATCTAATGAGACACTGTTAGTTGAAGTGGACCCTAGGTGATGTAAGTCCCTGGGGTCAGACAAGCGTTCTTGGTTATATGACAAGGTACGTACCATGCTTTCGTTAAGGGGAGGTTTCTCTGGCAAACTCCCCGAGTCTTCATCGCTTTCTCTATGTTGGTGTGACCGGTCTACATTGTTTTGCTCCTGTTGTTTCCGAGCTGCCATCATGACTGCAGCCAGTGGAGTCTGGACAGCATGTATCTTTTCCATTCTACTTTTTCTGTCTGCTGGTTCTTCATCATGTTCATCGTGACTATGTCTTTCTTCTTCATACCGATCCTCTGGTTCATGATCTGACTCGATGGGAGGCTTGTCTTCAATGTATTGATCTTCATGATTGGGAGTCCTGGGACGTTTTTCTGGAGGGACTGGTAGATCACGAGGAGGCTCAGGACGGTAAACCTCTGAAAAAACAAGTGTTGGCTGTAGAGTCACTTATTCAAGTCATATCATACTAAATCATGTGTATTAAAAAACAGCTTACCAATTTCCTTTTTTTTGGCAAAAAAGATTCAATGAATTGAAACAAGGTCTTATAACAAATACTGCCTACCTTCACGATTTCTTCTTGTGGGTCGCCCATGGTAGGTGGCCCTCCGACTGTGAACACGGTCAAAGTAGGGCGAAGGGCGATCAACAGTTGCCATGGCTTGTTTTGTCTGGAACTGTGTACGTCCAGAGTAGCGAAATCTTGACCCAAAACGAGGGAATGTGCCCTTTGCCTTAGGAAGTTCAATTTCTCTAAATCTGTGAACAATTTTTAGGAAAACAGTAATCTCAAATTACCAATACAGGAAATAAAAGAATGTTAAACCTGATGAAACATTTAATTCAGGATGTACCAATTAAGTCTTATCTAATTGATAAACATCAAAATAAACTTTTTTCAATCACTTCAAACTTTATGAAAATAGAAATTTACAATATGAAAAGTTGCTGATATGAAAAGATTTGTCTCCATCAAGATCTGACACTGCCTCCAAGAGTGAAAAAAGTAATGTCACTTTAAAGGATGGGTTACCTGAAAAAGGAATGGTGTTCCACACAGATCTTCCAGAGTCTTTTTGCATGCTTTACTGAATCAAGCTTAAATCCAACTTGACTCTGGAAATCTTCAAACTAAAAAATAGAACTCATCACATAATATTTATACAATTCTCATACCTCTGGTATTTTTTAAACACATTGATTTGACTAGAATTCATTGAATTCTGAAACTCCATATTAACTGTTCTGAACTGAACTTTGATTCATCTAGGGACTTTTGATTATCCATTACAGCCAGAAAACATGCAGGGCTTCAGTTAGAATCCTAGATGATAGACAATTTTTTTTCTGTATCATATAGAGTACAAATGAAATTGTTCCATTAACTTTCAAAACAACTTTATGCCAGAGACCCCTTTGGGTGACAATTCAGTGGAATATTACTATGGAATATCAATCAACCCAGTACTGACCTCTCCAGGACGCAGTTTTATATAAAACTTGCTTCTCCTGTAGGACATTTTAAGGACCTTAGGCCAAACGAAGCGGTTGATCTGTAGTTTATCTTTGAACACCAGCAGACCAGTAGCACATACTCCCAGCTGGATGTTAACTCCCTCCGCATCCTGACCACAGGCAGAAAAACAACAGGTTTACTTCTGGCCATTTCAATTATTTCCTTTTTTAACACTCCTCTTTAAAATTATATCACGTATGTTATTAACAAATACAAAATGTACATCCATAAAGAATATGATTATCTGGTACAGAACTTTATATCATATATCATAAGTATTAAGTCACTGACTCTGACATGTGTTTTTTTATTTAAGGTTGTCAGCTTTATATCATATTTTGAAGATAATATCATTTTACGTGATTAGCCATTGAATTAAGTGTAATGAAATATCAAATCACAAGATACAAATTATGTAAAAATATGCGCAAAGTTTAGAGCTAACACCATGGTATCTTCAATGGATGGATCAAGGTTCCTCGCCTGTCGCCCGGATACCCGAAGGTATGCAGGGGATTTATGACAAGGGGTAAGCTTACGTAAGTATGGATCCATACTTACTTCAGATAGAAATTAGAAACTCTCAATGTATACTGATCATGAATGTGATGTGCAATCAGAAACAAAAAGAAATCTGTAGTATTAACTACACTTAGATAGTTTTACACCAGACAGGACAGAAGTAACGTATAGTAATAAAATATTCAACAAGCTTACTACATAAAGCTTTGGGATATATGAATAATTTAATTGACAAACATCTGTACGAGGGGGGAGATACAGATCTAGCCAGTGGTTAGGTACTAAATTGTCAATACTACGGCAGGCTGGAACTTTACTGTGTTTAAATGTTGTCATTGATTATGTGCTAATCTATAGTGTACAGAGCCTAACAAACCCCAGCTGGAGGCAGTATTGATTAACATTCAGCAACACATTTCTGTCTAACTGTTACACAAGGATTTTGATTCTTCATGACATATGAAATAGGCCATTTGTTTGACATAAAAGACATATTTTTTAATATGGCAAATCATTTTGATGTGAAACTTCAAAGATAACATGATTTATTCATTTTCAAGATAACCATTTAATGTTTCAATATTTGACCTTGAAAATCTGAACTTTACATACCTTAGCATCATGTAGCTCCACACCGTACATACTAAGTTTCTTTGCATTTTCAAGGAAACGAAGTTCAGCTTCCTCTGGTGTCTGTCCCCTGTAAATAAATTTCAGTGGATTAACTCAGTTTTCGGCTCATGGTTGATATTCAGTATAAAATGAACAAAGTAGATATGGCATTGGGTGGTCAGGTGGGGAAGTGGTAGCACAATGGCCTTTTAACAAGATGTCTATGGTTCAATTCCCCATATGGATATGAAAGATATTGGTCCACTGCCCAATCACATGGGTTTTCTGATGGTACACTTGATCTCCTCTTACAGTAAGAACGCCTGTGTGCCTCTGTCCAGGCAAACAACAATAAGTAATGTCAGTAAAAAGCTTGCTTCACAATTGGTGTAAAATATCGAAAGGTTATGTTTTCACATCATATTTTGGTTTTGCTACTATTAGAGGCTACTTTGGGAGATCTTTGTCGAGTCTGTACAAGGTGTCTATGGCCACCACTGATACATCAGCAGTTGGGAGACTGAAATACTGAAAAGGGATGACAACAAATGCAAAACTTTGAGTCTACTGTTTGGATCATAAACCTACGAGAGTGTTTAAATTCATCTGTGACTATCAGGATTTAGCAGGACTAAAGCAACAGACATTTTATCAACAAGTAACTTTCAGGATTCAGTGGGACTTATGAGTGCTATAATGGACATACTTGTGTGTTTTATGCAAGTCGCAAATCTTTTTCAATAGTTCTCTGTCTTGATGAGGAGCAAACTGGATCTTTCGGATATAGTCCAATCCTCGACCAAATTCTTCCACGTCATAATCACCTAGCTCTGATTGGACGGTGTATGACCCTAGCAAAGTGTAGGTCACAAATGAACACGGCAGTCTGCAACAGAACAATGTTAATGAATGAGAACACGAATACTGTACCCATTTAGCCTTACTGACCGACAACATCTCTAAGGTATAACAGTATCAACCACAGACAGGGTGCGACAAAATGATGGAATTGATAACGCTTTATTGTATGGACAGTTGAATCCTCATTTTGCTTGATGTTGTTTTTATTATGTAAATTTGCCAATTGATGTGGTAGGTAAGAGGTGAAGGGGGTGGTATTCAGTAATGTAAAACTTTTGTATATTGATGCCTATAAGTATATAAGTCAATCGCAACAGGTTCGGGATAAGTTGATTTTTATTCGTGTGAAATGTCTACCGGTTTCGCCCGAACAGTGGGCTTCTTCAGGTTGCGATTGACTTATATACTTTGGTTTCCCCTATTCCTTCAATCGCCCTGCATACCGGGTGGTATCCGGGCAAGGGATATAAAGAACCAACGGAACCTTAATAAAAGTCAAGGCGTTGGCTCTACCCCTGGATTTACGTTGATGACTATAAATTGCATGTTTCTAGTAATTTAGTAGTAAGAATTAATTTGATTTCTAACCGTAGATGTGTGACTTATATGAGGTAATCTAGATAAAAAAATATGTGCTGCTTGTCTGTTTCTCTTTTTTTTAAATTCTCCTAGCTGATGGTGCTGCTTGTTTGTTTCTTTTTGGATGGCATTTAATTCTCCTAGTTGATGGTGCTGGGGGTGGCATGGGAGCTGGTCTGCAGAAAGTGCACATCCTGTACATCATGTTATGAGACCTTGTGCTGCTGGGTAGTAGGAAGTTTCCTTGAGACAAACAGGCAGCTGTTTGGGATAATTTACTTTTAAATCTAGCTACCCAATTTGTTCTCCACATATATATTCAGGGTGCCTCATGTATTATTTTTTTTATTGGCAGGCAGATTGTCATCAATTGATTCCTAATTTAGAAGGATGTTTGATACATTAAATTTTTGACATCATAGTAATAAGACATAACATGAGCATCCATGAAGAGGGTACTATGGTGAAATAGATATATTTCACCTTGAAAGAGTACTGTGTATATCATTCAGTGATATCATTGTATCACATTTAAATCATTTGAATTTATAATGATCAAAAGAATTTTTTTGCTTCTGACAGCTGTGGCATCATAGTAACATAGACTGTCAATGTTCGTACTCATGGGCATATTTCTATATTTTTGCCTTGACAGAGTACCATGTGTGTGTGAGTTGTGAAGTTGAATTTCTGCCTGCTGATGTATTAATTAACCATCAGGAACAAATTATTTTACAATTTCTGCCTGCTGATGTATTCATTAACCATCACGAACAAATTATTTTACAATTGTTGTAATTTCTTTTGCACCTCCTGATCCATTACCTTAAAGAGACGTTTCTCAGAGTACCTGAAATATTATTGTTCTAAGGATTGTTACATGGTAACACTACAGTCTTGTCACCTTACTTGACCAGTGGGTGAAAATTGTACATTCTTTTTATAATACCAAACTTGAGTTTCTAAAGCGTAAATGTTCGACAATTGGTATTCATCCTTACTTTTATTATCGGGTACTCAAGGTTCAATTTCAAAATTTCCTCTCAACTTTTGTTACAGCTATAGGGTTGCAGCCCTTCCAGGTGGTTGAGGGGTGTTTGACAAATTTGACAGTTCTGTAAAATTGGGATGATCTTCCATCTAAGGGGTCACAGCCGGACAGGCTGCAGTGGTTTAATGTTTAACACAGATGTTCCCTTCAGCCATCTCTGCCATCTTCGGGTTGGTGGCATATGTAACTTCTGCCAAGCTGCAGACTCATCACTCTTCATGCTGGTTTTATGAGGTAAGGGTCACCTCATTTTGATGGGGACAATCAATCAAATACAAAATTTTCTTCCTCCATCTCTCCATAATCCTGGCACGAAATGGTACCAAGAACACCCGTTGTAACATTTCCTACATGATCTTTATGTATTTTAATTATGATGTTGAGGGATTTCGAATTAGATGTTTTGAGCTTCTTGTCTGTGGTTAACTCCACGTTGGACTTGGTCGGATTCATTTGTTAGTGCACTGATAATGTGTCACCTTAGGGTCGTTCAATGAACATGAGAGTGCACAGTAGCTCACCACTAGGAACAAGATAGATGGGTTAGAATGTTTTATTTGAACAGTGGCCTGAAGTTCTACATGTGTCACCTTAGGAGTCATTTATTGAATTCTTAAACAGCAGTGAACCGCAGCTCCAAATTAGGAACAAGATAGGCGAGTTAAAAACTAGCGCAGGGTTCATGTGGCTTTATCATTTGCAGTCTTGTGTCTTTAGTGAAAGGTGGTTGAGTGTTCTTCCATGTTGTTCTTTTCTACATTTATGTTCTGATGTATGGCTATTAGGCTAAGTTTTAATTAGTTTTAAACTCAAATGTATCCATTTGGCCATCGCATGTTGTTTAGTATTGTATTGTTAATATATGTAAGTTAAGTTTAATAAATTGTAGAACTGTAATTCTGTCTAAGTTGTTACTTTCCTTCAAGGATTTTGGTAAGAGGAATCTGCAATCAAAAGTGGTAGTCAAACCCGATAAAAATTTATGCAGGCGTGTGCGGTGGGTCTCTCTCTGGATTTGCCAGCCAACAAGCAATTTTCAATACACAATGCTCTTCCAGGCAGAAACAAAAGGGAAATCAACATGTTTTCTGAATAACCTTCACACACTTACAACATTATCTCCCATTAATTCTAAACTAAACCAACCATTCCTGTTTCAACATAATACAACAGGTTCTTAGTCATGATTATTGGGCTTAGATTATTGGGCTTAGAAGCCAGTCATATTTTTTATAAAAACCTCCTTTCCTGACTTTCCCACAATTATCCACCCATTCCATCAGGCCTGAAATGATCCCCCAGACAGGCATTGGGACTGGGAAATCTTTCCTTAGAACTTTTCCTGCTGTTCTGAAGTAATGGATATGATAAACTGACATTTCAATGGATACTGACTGCCATACTGTGCCAATATTTCCCACCATACAAAAATGTTCTACACTATTCGTCTCCCTTTGCACAATTTCCAATTAACATTTAACAAATGAAAACACTGGAAATTCCAAGCAAGCCTTCACAACAAATATCAAATGTCAAGTGACAGTTCCATAAAACATAATCATATATAGCATGAAACGTTCACATAACTTAGGTTATACTTACTTCTCACTGACAATATCTCTTCTTATCTGAAGACACAACTGATATCTGAAAACAATACAACAGTTATCAAATAACTAATGAATTATCTATTTGACTAAATGAATATATGACATGACAGAATGTAATAACACCAAGACTATATGACATGACAGAATGTAATAACACCAAGACTATATGACATGACAGAATGTAATAACACCAAGATCATATGACATGACAGAATGTAATAACACCAAGATTATATGACATGTTTGAATGTAATAACACCAAGACTATATGACATGTTTGAATGTAATAACACCAAGACTATATGACATGTTTGAATGTAATAACACCAAGACTATATGACATGACTGAATGTAATAACACTGATTTTATGACATGACTGAATGTAATAACACCAAGACTATATGACATGTCAGAATGTTATAACACTGATTTTATGACATGACTGAATGTAATAACACCAAGACTATATGACAAGACTATATGACATGTCAGAATGTAATAACACCAAGACTATATGACATGACTGAATGTAATAACACTGATTTTATGACATGTCAGAATGTTATAACACTGATTTTATGACATGACTGAATGTAATAACACCAAGACTATATGACATGTCAGAATGTTATAACACTGATTTTATGACATGACTGAATGTAATAACACCAAGACTATATGACATGACTGAATGTAATAACACCAAGACTATATGACATGTCAGAATGTAATAACACTAAGACTATATGACATGTTTGAATGTAATAACACCAAGACTATATGACATGACTGAATGTAATAACACTGATTTTATGACATGACTGAATGTAATAACACTATGACTGTATGACAGGACAACAGGCATAATTGTATGACTACATACAATAATTAATTTGACCCAATGTAATTTTACGATGGATAGTGCTAGTTAAATATGGGTGACTGTACCTCATTATGCACGATAACTAATTAAAGAGATTAAGTTCAGGTCACGAAACTTCAAAGTTGATAATACAGACCCATACTAAATATCTCCCTGCATCCTACAGTATTCACCAAGTTTGCTTAAGTCTACAATCTCTCACCTGGTTATGTCCTCGTGAAGTTGTTGGGGATCTGGGGGATAAAATTTCACTTCAAAGTTGAACTCCCAAGGACCACCTTGAAGTTGAGAAAGGTTGAATCACATTAAATCAATTAGGTATAAGGTATTACAATCTTATTTATCTATATTACATCAAAGACATCCTATAAACATTCCCAATGTTTAGCTAGACTCAACAATGTTCAAACGCAGCTAGAATTTTGTATTGTAAAAATAGTCTGCATATAAGTTGACACCAAAAGAAGAATGTTAAATTGTTTGTTTCTTCTTTTAAAAGTAAAAGTCAGACAAGAAACAATCTAGCAGCTTTCTACTGTTACTGAAAAAAAACTCAATCATGGAAAGGTATATAGTTTGTCTTCAAAATAAGATGTATACAACATAATATTTGTGTCTCTTAGTATCAAAAACATCTTACCTCACAGACAATAAATACATTATTTTAAAGGCTGACAAACCATAATTCACTGACATCAAACACACCATCTTTATGTTGGAGTCACCTCCCCTTACTGACATCAAACACACCATCTTTATGTTGGAGTCACCTCCCCTTATTGACATCAAACACACCATCTTTGTGTTATAGTCACCTCCCATTACTGACATCAAACACACCATCTTTGTGTTAGAGTCACCTCCCCTTACTGACATCAAACACACCATCTTTATGTTGGAGTCACCTAACCATACTGACATCAAACACACCATCTATATGTAAGAGTCACCTCCCCATACTGACATCAAACACACCATCTTTATGTTGGAGTCACTTTACCATACTGACATCAAACACACCATCTTTGTGTTATAGTCACCTCCCATTACTGACATCAAACACACCATCTTTGTGTTAGAGTCACCTCCCCTTACTGACATCAAACACACCATCTTTATGTTGGAGTCACCTAACCATACTGACATCAAACACACCATCTGTATGTAAGAGTCACCTCCCCATACTGACATCAAACACACCATCTTTATGTTGGAGTCACTTTACCATACTGACATCAAACACACCATCTTTGTGTTGGAGTCACCTCCCCTTACTGACATTATGGTTGATGTTTAGATACTTACTTTTCACCTGCTTGGATAGTTTCTTCACTGTGTTAACCCAATTCTGTAAATAAAACCAAACATTTATAATTCAATCCTGAAACAGTTTCTATAATAACTGGCTATTGACCATTACATCAACACTGTTTGCTACATTGACAATAAATTACTGAGAAAAGATAAACAAGTCTTTTAACAAGTTTTCCATCATTTCATTTCATATTTTTACATTTTACAGATTAATCATATCGATAATAAGGCTCCTTTGTCTCAGTAATGCTTTGTCACATGACCAATATCATCAGGACAGAAATAGATCTGTACTCAGCAGTATTTCTCCACAGCACTAGAAGTAGATCTGTGACAGTTTAATAGCTAATTGATTGTTGCTATGGTTACCGATCTTTGACAAAGCTGCATATTAAGTTAGAAGTCAGACAATTTGTGTTGTTATAGTAACCAAATGTCATCCCTGACATTTTAAAACTCTTTGATGTACTGGTTATATGTACAGAAAAGAATCACACCGTGGTTATCAGTAACTCAGTCTAAAGACTGACTGACACCTTAATGAGGGATGACATGGGGGCTGTATAGACAGATTGTGTTATTCCTCTGTAATTATCTTCTGTAATCAACCTATCTATGTATATATACATGGATGTTTCAGCAGTCTAAGTCATGATTATTGTGAAAAATTGATCTAGTCATGTTTCGTTCAATTTTTACATCACATGATCAAATGTTTTAAAAGTTAATTGACAAAATGTCTGCATTTCAGCATTAAACTTATTAAGGCACGGCAGCAGGTCACTGATGTCAATAATATTGATAATAATGAACAACTTTATTCATTTTACAACAATTCCGAAACAAGTTTTTCCAACTTATATTAATCACTCCTGTTGGCCTGGATGGAAGCACATGAGGGGTCTTACTGTGGGTACCGGAGTACCCGGGGAAACCCCACGTGGTTGGACAAGTAACCCCATACCTTTTCACATCCATTCAGGGAATTTAGCCCCATACAGCTAGGTGAAAGTCGAATGCGTTACCATTGCGCCACCCAACCATCCTGCTTGTTATGTCCTATTGAAATCACTTTTTAACTCAATATACTCAAACTTCATATGTTTACGAAAATGTTTTGTCTGAAACAGATGTCCCTTGGCATACATGATTATGAACAAAGTTTCGTCTGTTAGCAGCACTTGTAAATCACAACAAATGCAAACTTACCTTCAAACCAGTTGAAGAATCTATATAGGACAAGCCAAAATAATCTTTTTCTAATACATCCAATTGGTCGCAGCATTTATCAAACAGTATACATCCCACGGCTCTTTTCTGTAACAAATGAAAGAGTTGATTTGTAAGTTTAAATCTAGTACACCTTGAAAATAATCCCTTCTACAGTAATTGTATAGGCACACTGCCATCCATGCAGGTTCACCATACAGATGCATAAGGAAGGAAAGCAATCAACCCTAGACAATACAACACAATTAAAGGCAATTTCTGGGGATATTTACATGTACATATGTGACCGTAAGGTAAAGAACCATTAATTTCAGTATGAAATTTTAATAAAATTGATTTTTTCTTCTTATAAAAAATAATCTGTCATATTCCTTGCATTGTCTCCTTTATGTTTGGTGTCAATTTAATGATAACCCAGATTAAGCTGTGGTACTTCATACTTTAACAAAGCACAAGCCAATATTACTGCTAAATCATATATGTACTGAAACTGTATTTACAAATGGAACACAGAAAATTGACTAATGGTGAAAGATTGCAAGTTTCTGGAATGGTTCAAGGTGGTATGACAAATAGACTAACAGATGCATGCTCAAAAATATCAGCATCTGCACCAAACTGGGTATGTTTATGAGTGCCTCAAGTCTGACAGAATTCGCTGGACTACAGATAGAGAAGACAGACTTCTGTGTAGACAGGCAACCATTCACCACTGCCAATAGGTTCAGAGGACAGCAGAACTTAAATATCCACGTAACAAGCAAGACTGCAATGGGTAAATGTTCACCAGACATGGAATTTTAGGTCTTAGTGAATAGAGTACTGTAATGATGAAAGCCACTTTTCACTTAGTCACAAGAAATATAACATTTGGGCACAACAGCATTGTGGTAGCTGTTGTTGGTGGTGTTATTGCTGTTGTTGGTGGTGGTGGTGATGGTGATTGCAGTGGCGGCAGTGTTGTTGTTGTTGATGAAATTTTTTTATCTAGCAGAATTACCATGATCAGACCCTTCAACCTTCAAGTGTTCTTCATATCCTTGCCCATTGACTGGCAGATCAGCCTATCTTAATGGACGACAATGTCAGCAGATATGAACCCAATTGAGCATGTTTTGGACTGTCGCAGATAAAAAATGCTTGGGATCTAAAATGCCAAGCAACTAGAAAATTATAGGCTGTATGTAATCAGGAGTGGCATTTTTTCTTTTTAATATTTTGGAAATGCTTTTTTGAACATGTCTTTTTAAAAAGAGACGATCAGTAAATTTCTTTTCCATATAACTGTGTATAGTTTTCTAAGATGCCTTAAAAGTCATTCTTATATATCCTGTTGTAAAATTAAGCTCAATCTATGATGTGTGTGGCACCTTACTTACAGCATTATTATTGTTATAGCCTTTCCTGACATTTATGGATGAAAATAAAAGTCAGAACAAGTGTTGACTATAATGCAGAAGTAAGTGCATTGTTGTGCTTCCCATCAGGACAAGGATTATATTGCTGTACATTACATTAGAATTGACAACTACACGTATGTCTACGTAAACATCCCCAGGCTATGGACATAATACTCCTGGAGTGTGACAATGACCCTAACAGATAAATAAACAATCACGACCAGACCTCTGCTTTTAGGTCACACTTAACCTTGTACCACTGTCATACCAGTAATAGCTACTACTAAGTTTGTTTTTCTACCTTTCTTACAATGTAATGTTATATATCTATACTTTGTAAATTAATATATACTCTTTAAACTAATTACAAAATATTTATCTTAGTACAGTAAGTAGTATGCTTTTCAAATCTAAAGTTGGTTGACTTAACCATACATCACCAAATTCTAAATAGATTTTTCACATAATGCACCCAAATAAAACAGGTTACCGGTAATGTGTTCTTTTTCAGTAGAAAATTACATGCACTATTCAAAATACTGTTGTCAGAAGCAAAATTTTAAACAATACTGAATGATTCTACATTTTCTGATACAATATAAAGGTAAACAACCAAGTTAAATGTATAACATGATATTACATAAAGATTTCTTTACTTTAAGTAGTCTTCTACAGAAATTTAAATGTAAATTTTCAATGTCCAGTCCTCTGGAGGACCCCCATAATTTAGAGGCATAACACAATATACTGCTGACATATATTGTATCAAACACATGTTTTACAATTTAAGCTCAGTCTTTGAACACTTTGAATGTAAATCAAACATTGTTTTGTGTCCTTGGTCAGATAACTGCTTCTGGATACCTTTAAATTCATTGTTAATACTTAAGTAAAACCACAGTACATGTTTATATGTCGAAAAGACACAGTAATTATTTTGAGTACTTGTTGAAGTTTTCTGGTAAAAGAACTTTATTATAATTCAGAACCTTGATTTACTATATAAAAATAATAAGTGGCATTGACACTTTTAAAAAAAACTTTATAAAACAATGATTTTTAAGTTGTAAACAAAAAAGTTCTGTTATATGTTAGCTACATGTAAACAACACGTTATCATTTTGTTAAGCCTACCAGGCCTCCAGGTAGCTATATATATAGTCTGAGGTAGAGTGGTGGTGGTGGTAGGGTGGGAGGAGATAGTTAACAAGGTCATTTCACACTGGGTTACACATAACAACAGCTCAGGCCTGGGAACCAGTCCTTAATCCTCATGTAAATTGCTGAATTTTCTGTATTTAAAGTGTGCACAATGTAAAAACCAACAGTATCGCTTTACTGGCAATACAATGAATTTAATGAGTGTTCCCCAGGAGAAACATTTAACTATCAGTTTTTCATTCTTTCCCGAGACCAATAAATTCTTTTTCATAAATTTGGTAAAAAGGATATTTTTGTTTAACAATATTATGTTTCTTTAATTTATCTATCATTCAAAAAAAAATAAAAGCCAGGTTTATATTTGCAATTAACAGAACATTTAACATGACTTTTATACATGTACATATATCAAATTACCTTACATGTAAACCACTTAGGTTAATAATATTGTTTCAGATCAAATTTGAAAAAATAAAACTTTCATTACATTCTTTTCATCACAGAATAGTTCTTCATTTCATCTTTAAACTCCTCAATCTGTCCCCCATCAAATTTACAGATACATATCTGTTAAAATATGTTAAAATGGAGAGTTTGCAAGAGAAAGGAAAATAACACATATTTGTGTTTCTGTTATGAAAGTAAGCTATGGGAATATTTCATTCAGACTGATAATTATCAGCTTGCACTGATAGTCAATACTATATGTGTATATGAAGATTTGGTGTCATAAATTATATGGTAGATAATCATGAGTTTAAATATTACAGACTTCGAAACTATTTTCAAAATATGTACTTACTACAATAAATTGTGAGTTTTGTCCATATCAAGGACAATACTGCTATGCTCAGAACATGAAATTTCAACAAAGGACAATAACTCTGTAGATAATATGGTTTTGTGGGCCTTGACTAGTACACAGCACATTGTCTTAGGATGAAAAATGTTTACAACAAGTCTCATTATCTAAGTGAAAATTAAAATAAGTTAAGCTCCAGACACAGATTTTAACAAAGGGATACAGACCCTAATATAAGCAAATGTACCACACATTGATTGAACGATATACACACAAAGTTTTATTATCATTGCTTAACATTGGGCAAAGTAATGCTGCGGACATGAAAAGGTTGAACAAAAAGATATTGGAAAACGGATGAATTGTCTCAGCAGCAACTACACGTTTCAAAAATTTTCAGAGTATTAAAGAATAACTTGGATGAACAAAACACGTAATGAAATTTACATTCTACTGCACCATGTAACTACAATATAAAGTTTGTGTTTATTTAACGTATATTCATTTCTCAAATATATAGACATTATAGCATGTTTTCTGATCAAAAATAGCAGTGAAATATCACTATCAATATTTTTATACAGCTATATTGATAAACCCATGAGATATGAGCAATCTAACAATAACTATGATGTGGGTATTACACCTATATAGTAGAGATTGCCTCAGTGTTGACATGTCTATGTGTGAGTCAGATGGAGAGAAGATAGCTAATCAATGTCGCCTGGAGGCTTGGTGATTAAATGTCTGGTTAGCTAATCATAGTGTCACCTAAAGAATTGCTGTGCTGGTTTATCCTGATAGAATTTTACATTATTTTGGATATCTCTAGTACCTTTTATCTATATTAAGAAGCATGATCGTTAACTGATGTTTTGCTAATTATCTTGCCCTTACAATGTAACATAAGCTTTTTCCAGACTTGATACAATTTTAAACCCTTATTACAAAGTATACATATGCATTTGATGATATGTAAACACAACTTTTACTGTGTAAACTTCAACTGATGAGAAATTCTTTTATACACTAACTATACTTTTTCCACTGCAAATTGATTGGAATGATTAAATATTGGACTCGTTTTTATTGTCACAAATTTATCCTTAATATTTTTAAGAGAAATTTAACTGAGACATTCCACTTTCCTGATGTAATTAATTCACTCAAACAGAATTCTATATGACTGTGTATAGGGTCTACCCCATCACAATACCCTGCCTCCTCCTCAGGGTTATTGATGGGTGGTGGCATAAGCCGATAGCAGTCAAGCTAACCAGACTGTGTGTGGATGAAGGTACAGGTACATACTAGTTGTAGCTTATCATTGTAGGAGTAGGACTGATCCTTAAATACTCTGTTATGATTGTAAACAAACTGATATGTTGGTTACAAAAGTATTTATTTCCCAAATATAAAAAGGGTTCAAATGTTGTTCACCGATTTCAGCAAGCTAAAGGCATATAAGGTCATTGATATAGACGAGTCCATTCAAGTGGTATGCTGTATGCGAGTCTCAAAGGGGCAATAGTAACACAGGGTCACTGGTAGAGGAGAATCCATTTTAGGTGTATCTATTGGTCATGGCCAGTAGTATAGGGTCACTACTACATCTTAAGTACTTTCTGCGGTTACATCTATCTAGCTACCTGTGAGTTCATTCTCACAGCATAAACTGGTCAATGGAATACATAGTAACTGAAATATTCCAAAGGGTATCTACT